TATTCCCTTAGGAACTGGTAGTTATGTTCTCAGGCGAGTTCATAAAAGCCTCTCTAGCCTCTTCTACTTGATATTTTAATCCAGTGGTTTCAAATGGACTGTATCAGAATTGCCTGAGGAACTTCATAAAAACAGAGGCTCACACCTCAGACTTTTTGAGTTGTAATCTTGAGATGAACGTTCTGGATTCATCTCAGCAGAGGCAAAGCAAGCTAAGAATCCCGAGACAGGCAGTAGGGACTGGTTGTCTATTTGGACCTTCAATATATGATATTCATTTTACAATAAATTATGGACATGTACTTTAATAAAATAGGCACAAATGTAGACATTTCAAAGAGATGAGGTGAAAAATCGAACTAGAAATTCTAATGATTGCCTTTTGCACCTGTTAGGATCCTATTCTGTATTCCCTGGGTGGGTGAGCCCCACTTTTGCAAGACAAGGACATGGAGAGTGAGGGGAGCAAATAGAGACCAGATCCTACAGGAAGCAATTGAAAAATTTAGGAAAGGAAATGACATCAGATTTGGTTCCTGAAAAATATTGGGCTGCCATATTGAGTAAAGATTTGGAGTAGAACACACATGGACACAGGGCAACCAGTTTGGAAGATATTGCAGTGACAAGAGGTGATTTTGGCTTGAATTAGGGCAGCGCCAATGAGGTTCAAAGGAAGACAGGCTAGAGAGATATTTGGAGGTGTATTCAGTAGGATCTAGTGATTGATTTCATGATCATTGCTGGAGAGGGTCTTAGGTGTCTTCTAGGTTTTTGGCTTGAGCATCTGGATGGAAGATGAACACTAGAAGAACAGTTTTGGGTGGGGGTGGGGAATGAGTCCATGTTTCAAATGTTTCAAACGTAAAGCATTCAAAAGAGGATATGAAGTGAGCAGTCAGATATGTAGATTGAGCTTAGTAGAAGTCCTGGGTTGGAATCTATAAATTTAGGAGTTGTCAACACACAGATAGTAAAGAAATTACTTGGCCTCCAGATATTACTGGTAGGAAAGCTCTAGAGCAGAAGCGCCAAGGAGTTCCATAAAAATAGTACATGCTCTTGGATTTATAGGACTGGCGAGGAATTAGAAGTCAACAGATAACGCAGTTTCTATAAAATGCAAGTCTCCTGAGCATCGAGACAGACAGCTTATGTTAGAAGGTGGTAAAGAAAGTAGAAATCAACATTGCAGAAACTTTCATAGATGCTTTGTTGAGTACACTGCATCCAGGAGTGAGCCATGAATGTTGGAAAGTAGCTCACATCACAGTCACTCATGCATGCTTTCAGGTGTGTGCACCGTCAGGCTTGAGTCACTGGGGAAGCTGAACATGCCAGGTGAGATGAAAGCAGTTCGGGAAACACTTCCCCTGGTAGCCCAACACCAGAAAATACTACAGGTCAGGAGGCAGCAGGCCCATCCAGACTCCAGACTGCTCTGCTCTGACCAGCTGGTGCCATCCAGGGTCAAGCCACGTGCGTTCAGTTTCCTCAGTCTCCAAAGGCCCCTCAAGCCCCAACTTACTAATTCTGTATAAACAGTTATAAATTCAAATGTCAGGGCCAACCACATTGTGAAATATCTCTAAATATTATAAAATATGCAAAAGATGAAAACTCTGGTTCTGTCTTAAACGCTGCCTTCCCTAAATATAGTTGTGAAGTCCAAGATGTCAGCCTTGGCTGGTTGCTGTCTTACTCATTCAGGGTTGCCTTGCCAGGGTTGGATATCTTGTGGGGGTTTTTTCCTATTTGTTTGGTGGTTTCTTTTTAATAAATACCATTTTGAAATTATGAGTTCTCATTATCAGTTGCACTTACAAACAATTGTGGATTCTTTGAGGACATTTTCTGAATTTAGCCAGTAGGAGGTGTTGGACAGGCAGAGAATGAGTGGTTGGTGGAACATGACTCCAAAATTAGGTAGGCATTTAAAGGAGTTGGTGATTTTTACTTAATATGCTTAACATACTCTTCAAGTACGCACTTGCATTAAACTTATTTAATTTAAGGAGAAAGATACTTGCTCTTGGGATAATAGGTTGTTTCCATTGTAATATTAATTACATAAAATTCTTGAAGACTTTGTGTTCTTTTAATTAAAACTACATGCTAAAGAGGCATTTTTAAAAAATTTAAATATGTCTATTGATTTCAGAGAGAGGAAGGGAGAGGGAGAGACAGACATCAGTGATGAGAGAGTCATCATTGATCGGCTGCCTCCTGCACACCCCCGACCGGGGATCGCCTGCAACCCTGCATGTACCCTGACCAGGAACTGAACTGCAATCTCCTGGATCCTAGGTCGATGCTCAACCACTGAGCCATGCCCAGCCGAGCTAAAGAAGCTTTTTTATTTCTTTTTCTAATAAGGAAAATTTCAAGCTCAGTATTACAGTCCCTAAAATAAAATCAATTTTGTCCTAGAATATAGTTTTAGGGACTGTAACTGCCCATTTTCTTTGTGTTGTAAATAACAGAAGTTTCCTATCAGCTCTCCTGTCTCTTCCTCCTCTGCCCTTTCACCGCTTTCACTTCATGCCAATCACAGGTGGATGCTCAGTATCACCCCACAGCAAAAGATAAATAAGCTTGGACAGTTTCCTAGCAACATATTGTTCTGGGAACCTGTTCTGTTTCCCTGAGCAAGCTGAAGCCAAACATCCTAGAATCTCAGCCAGATGGGAAAGGATTAGCTTATTGAGGGTTCAATGCATTTTTTTTTTTTAAATCACTTTGAAATTAACATAAATAACAAGGTTGACTTTTAAAAGGACACTCTTTTACATGTAAAAAAATATCTCAGTAATAGTTTTAATATAAAAAATATGGTTTTAGGAGAAATTCTTTAGGAGCAAGCTTTCCATACATATGTAGCTGTGTCATTGGTGAGTGGATCCATTTTAGAACCATGTAGAAAATACTTCCACTCAGGCCTAATGTGCAGCCTGGTACCCGCTGGTACTGATATTCAGTTGCAAAAATATTGAAATACTTCTAATCTGTGGGTAAACAGCTGCCGGGATAGGTGCCCTCCCTCCTCATGATACCTGTCACTTCTCCTCTTGACCCTGCCCCTGGGGATGCGCATGAAACTCCTGTCACTGCTTAAAACTCTCAGACTTCCCCTCCCTTTTCCTTCAGCACTAGTGAATGCCACTTCACCTTGAGACTCTCTTTTCTTTTTATTTTGGTTTTCCAAGTGTACTTACAAAGAAAAGAAAACTAGAAGTTGAGGTCCTTACCAAGGTTAAGAAAAATAACGTTTTATCACATGATCTAGTAGATTCTCCTTGTTCATCTGACGATGTTGAGGCCGCAGGGTTGGCAGGTGGTGCTTCCCTTTCTCTTGCGCTCTAGTCAGTCCCAACGAATGATTGAAGGTGTCTGGAGATGGTGTAATGACAACCTTCATCAGAGGCCTTGCAACTCAGTTACTCCCTGGGGCATGTCCGGCTTCTCGTTTGATGAACACTGTCATCCTGTTCTTGTTCAATGACTTGCACTGTCTGCCAGGTTTGGTCTGAGTTTGGGAAACTTTTCAGTTGTGATGAGAAGCAGATCATTCTACAGTTCGGAGTGCTCCTGGGTGGGCAGGACAAAGTAATTACAATAAGATAAGTGTCTTTGCCTTTTTTTTTTTAAACAAACTCTCTGGCCACGTTCCAGAGAATTAAACCATCTTCATCCCAGAAAACTGCATGGTAATTTTATATGCATTCTGGGTGCTGTCCATTCTCTCTCGCTCTCCCTCACACACATACACATGTTCTAAATACCTTGTTTTGAACTCGACAAGAAACAATCTGTTGAGAGCCTCACAGGGCACTTTGGTAGACGTCCTGACGGGTACTGAGAGGCATCAGCGCATCACCCTTGCCTTTACCACACCCCCAAGAACTCAGCAAAATAACACATTTGTGATCTTCTAAAAAAATTAGATAAACTGTTTCTCTTCATTTTAAGTCACTTCCTTTGGGACCTAAACATTAAGATTTTGATTTCTAAAGCGATTATATTATTTTGATTGTCCAAGGAAAGCCTAAAAGTAGATTTTCTCTTTTCTATGGAACAAAATGGATTATATTAATTTTGAGGGGATACATTAAAAAAATAAAAAATTTTCATGAACTAGGCATTATTTTAGATACCTTACCTATATCACTTAATTTTCCTAACAGCCATTGTGAACTAGAAATTTGCCTGTCATTTTAACATGAAGAAAGGCTAGGAAAGGTTAAATACCTGTTTGCCAAGGGGTTATTGACAGTATAAATAGGCATTTAGACCCTCATCTGTCCAGTGCCAAATGCTTATGTATTTATTTTTAAAATTCTAAGGTTCTGTAAGATTCTAGTCTTTTCTCAGAAAAGAGTAGACTACTGTCTTTTAAACATCACATAATTCGAGCAAGAAATAGACGAGCTGTTCTCATTCAGCACCATGATTCCGCGTTTCTTTGAGCTGTCAGTGATGAGGTTTAGAATCTCCTTGCTGTCTGGTAAATTAACTCTATTTCAAAAATATTTTTTTGTTATAATTTTCATTTTCAACATGGTAGAAGGCTATGAGTGAATTTTATTTAAAGGAAGTAAGTAGCACTTAAAGGAATTAATAACACTGTTAAATACATTAACAAGAAAAGGGCATGACATATCAGCAATATTGTAGAACAGAGATGGACAAACTTAGAGCCCTTTTTCGTAAAAAAAAAGTTTCTTAGAACAGGGCCAAACTCATTTGTTTATGCATCACCTATGGCAGCTTTTGTGCGGTAACAGCACTATGGAGTAGCTGTGACCTAGAGCACAGGACCCTCAAAGCCTAGAATATCCACCAGATGGACTTTCACAGGAAGAGTGCAGACCTGACTCTAGAATCTAGATTGTTTCCCCCTAACTTTGAGTTGGGTGAGCGCCATCAGAATGCCAGCGACTTGATTGGGAAACACCTCAGAAAATGTTTTTCTACATCATCTCCTTGTCTAATCCCTGCAGGTGCCGACCAAGAAGCTGAAGAAATATGAGAAGGAATATCAGACAATGCGTGAGAGTCAGCTGCAGCAGGAGGACCCCATGGACAGATACAAGGTATGGGAGACACGGGCACCTGCCAGAGCACAGTGCCTTCTTGACCCTAAGGCAGCAGTTGTGGCAAGTTCAATTCCCTCTGTCCCTTCCCGCTTGATTTAGATCCACTCTGGCCATGCTAAATGCACAGGTCTGTTTTCATTTCAGGAGACTTCCACCATAATATTTCTTTTCTTTCAGTTTGTATATTTGTAGGTAACGCCACCTGTTGCATTTATACTGGGAATCTGCCTAAGAAGCTGAGAGAAAGAGAGGGAAAAGGAAAGAAAGTGGCTTTCAACTACTTTCAAAAATGAGAGAAAAAGGAAAATGGCAAAGTACTGTTTTAGCTGTGCACGGTCACATCCCAAAGACTTTTAGAAGGTGATCTGTTCCAAGACTGGCACGAGCATGTTTCAGACTCACCTGTATCTGTAGCAAATGTGAAAAATACAAGTTCATTTGAAAGGACAAATAAAAACCACAAAGGTTGTATCGAGCACAGTCATGGTGTTTGTCGCAGCATTTATTTTCACAAACGAACTTATGAGTGACAGTGGCATTTCACTACAGTATTCAGTTTCAGAATCAAAATGATTTTATCTTAACAACTTAGTTAAATAACTAATAGTATTTTTTTAAATTGGGCTATTCACAGAGGTAGATCTCTTCGGTGGTATTTAGCAACACTGTTCCCATGATGCAGTGACTGAATCCGAACTTACTTTTTCCAATTGAAATATTATTTTCTTCAACATGTTTAATTCTTCAGGTTCCTACAGATGAGTGGTTCCCTTTCTCTCCACGTCAATATACCAGGGTAAGAGAGTATTGTATTTGCACAGTGAGCAATATTACAGTGTCCTGCTACAAAAAAAAAAAAAAGCACTGGGGTGGCATTATGAATTCAGTCACCAACGGTGGCATGCCTTCCACTTTTGGAACTAGAGTTGTGTGGGCACAGGCAGCTCTGGTCACACAGTACATCTTGTCTCTGTTGCTTACTTGAATAGCGTGGGGGGTTCCGGAAGGGCCATGGTGGAAGTAGTATATAGATTTTGTAGTCAGACCTGAGTTTGAATTCTGGCTTTCCAAAAAAGAAAAAAAGGCCAGGGTTTGGAATCCAGGTTGGGATTTTTAATTCCTATGCCATTGTTCCTCGTCTTGGACTAACCATTGAGCCTCTTCCTCTGCAAAACATACAGTGTACACATCGCCTGGAAGGACTGTTGTGAAGATGGGGGATGGTGTATGTCAAGTACCCAGCACATGGTTGGTGTGCAATAAATGGTTGTTTTAGCTTTATTAGGCCCACTACCTCAAGTATTACTAGAGTAGTACCACCTTATATGCATCACTCTCTTGCCGGTTTTCCTCGTATTTCTTCTAGGTATTGCTACCCAATAATCTAACATCAGTATGTTTTCCCCCTTGTTTATTATACTGGCGACAAAACTATAGTAGAGTCCCACATGCTGCCCTTGTAGATAACTAACACACAAGGTGCTCCTAGAGTAAGGTTTGAAGCTAGCCACCAGCCCTCAATAATTAGCTCATGTAGCATGCTGCTTTAGAAAGCCTTGAAGTATAATTAGGAAACATTTTTGAGGATCCAACATGAAGACCTCCTACTGCTTGCGTCAATCTAGTTTTCATATTGCTGCCATCGTTATAAATAAAATCTGGGAAGAGTGCTTTAAAATAGAAGACTAAATTGCATATTTAAAATCTGTCTGGGCCTGAACTTGATATTGTTTCTTAAAGCCTTTTTGTGTCACAGAAGATACATATACATAAATAGTACAATACATAATATTTAAAAAAAAATACTTACCACACACAGGACTATCAGCATGTACAATTTTTATTGAGGGATCAAAGGAGCATTAAACCTTTCATTTTTTGTTTTGAAAACAGATACTACTCTTCAGCTTGAGTGTTATGGCCTCTTCTGCATGCATATCAGGCTCCTTCTGGGTCTGTTTCTTTTGTATTATTGGAATAGCTTATCAATACATCATCTGACTAGTATCTCTAGACCCTTTAATAATGTCTAGACCTTTGTACTGGTGATAGACATACTTGGTAAAATGATAGTCCTCAAATTATAATTACATTTTCAAGTTGACAATTGACAACATAGTTTTCAATCATCAACAGCTTTGTTGTTTCACATATTCAATTTCTAGTTTAAGGAGCCAATTATAATCATTTTAATTATCCTAGGATAATATCTTAGAAAATATCATTTAGCATCTTCTGAATCTAATCCTGTCAAGAATAAGATCTAGGTCCTGGGAACTTTCTAATTCACAGATCTTGGACTGGGAACCTAGGTATATAAATTCTTAAGAATAACTTGGGAAGTTGTTTGAAGCTTCAAGTCAAAACTTATAGCAGTATACTAACAACCCCTTCTCCACCATTAGGATCCATACTGCTTACAATGCCATGTTTACCTCTAGCTTGCCACATGGCAAGAGTTAGGAAGGCTGTATCAATTTGGAAAAAAAAAAAAGGCCCAAAAATGTCATGCAGTAAGATATTCTAAAAGATTTTTCAGTTTGGAGCTGTTGCCCTTGAGCATGGTGGTGGACAGAAGGACTGCTGCAGGGAAGCCTGAGGTGGGATTAAAGACCCAACGATACAGACGTAGCTCTCAGCAGTCCCATTCTTGCTTATATCTACCTAAACGTGTTTTGGGTTTATTTTTATGACATATGCAAATATCTGCATTCTCAGATTATGTCACTATACTGACCTGTATCTAACACTTAAATCTCACAAAGAAAGAAATGCAGTGTTGGTATAAACTTAAATTTTATAACCCTATGCACAATGAAAATGGTTTGGAATTAGGTAGTGGTGATGGTGGCAACTTTGGGAATGCACTGAAACCACTGAAGAGTGTATTTTAAAAGGATTTTATTGATTTTTGTGAATTTTATGTGAATTATATCTTAAGAAAATGCAAGCAAAGTGTTCCAGGAAGATTGGCACCTGGCCCACCATCTTCCTAATATAAACCCCAAGTCACATAGCCATGCTTATCTGTGAGGGGAGACCTTCCTGCCAGAACGGAGCTAATTTGTGACCATAGACCCTGTGTTCCTGTATTTATGAGGGAAAGGACAACATAAGTGGGTGGCATATTCATTTTCATGCACATCTGTTCATTTTCATATATATGGTATCTGTATACATATATACTTGACAGAGAAATAAGCACATATAAATAGGTAATACACACGTGTACACACTGCCTGTGCTCCCTGGTCTTGGCATCAGTTTGTATTTGAAGCTCTGTGAGCTCTATACTGACTGCTTACAGCCTTCGCTGTACTTTTTCTGTTTATCTTCATGACTAGATTTCAAGACAGAAAAAGGAAACTTTATTGGAAGAAGAGTATAAGATGTGTGTTCTCGGTCTCTTTTGTTGTCCTTAAGTCTGGCCTGGCCAAGTGTGTGTAGCAGCATCTATCTACTCTGATATTTTGGTTTGTAAATGTATTTATTGATTTCAAATGAAGTGACATGTAGGAGGACGGTTTGTAGAAGTACGTCATGTATATTTCCATTTTCATAAAAGTCCCCAGAAAACATTCATGGATACTTGTAGCTGTTTTAATATATTTTAAAAATTAATTGCCCAAGCCCCTAATAAGCAGTGACCAATTTCAGAAATTAAAATATTTTCCAGTTTAAGGAGATAAATTGTTCCCCTCCTGGGAAAGTTAGTTTTTGAATAATGCTATCAGTTGATAGCACTTTTTAGAGAACTGCAGCCTTCACTTACCTCCAGAAGATGTTATGCTTTTCTTGTTTAATTAAAGAATTACTTGCACAAACGTGAGCTAAGCCTTAAAAAGCACAGCTGATTAATTAAATTCAGTGAATCTCCCAAAGCACGGATAAGGTTATGTCATTACCTATTTTAGATGGGCAAATCTTAGAAAGAATCAGGAACGCTTACACTCTCTTGGGTTTGGGACACAGATAGTATTATAAATGCATAATTTCTAGTTGAAGTATTTTATCCATGTTCAGTATAATTAAATTTTGAATGTTTAACTTCTTTCTTGAGGTTAGACATAGTAAGTTTTAAAATCAAAATGTAATCCAAGCAGAAAGAAAATGATTCCTCTAAGTTTACAAGTTTTCTTGCACTTACTAATTTTAGTACAGCTGTTGCCCTGCATGTAATTTAAAATTAAGCTATTTAAGTGTACATGGTAAAAACAATGCAAACAAAAAATTTTTCCCCCCAAACAAAGTATTTGAAATAAAGCTTAATTGTATTTGCTGTCCTCACATATAATATCACATTTTGTTTTTAACTTGACTAGTGAAGAACTGAAATTATGCTAAACTTCCTACCTGGAGAAAAAGAAGGTTCCCCTTTTCTTACTAGGCTGGGTCCCCCTCATTCAGAGGAGTCGAGATGAGTGAATCCACATTTGAGCATTATTTTTCCATATCGCAGAGACTGTGGTTGCTTTTGGAAATATTTATATTATGAAATAGTGTGCTTCCTCATGAATAGTAACAGTTAAAAGGGTGGTTTTAATGATAACTCTCAAAACTCAGTGATAAACCCCGGGAGACTGCCGCTCGCTGTCTTTTTGAGCTTGGATAACCTGTGGACTTGCTGTTGTAGATGGTGAAGAAGGCAAGCCCTCGGCCTCCTGAGGTTTCTTGAGCAGATTGGCTAAGAGGGAGCAGGTGGCTTCTGATGCTGCTGCCTGCTGGTTGAGTTATACTTAACCTTGGGGCAGGTATCAATGGTATACCTATTAAGAATTTCTAAGTATGCTTATTGATGATCTTCAGAATGCCTTCTCCAAACGCTTCTATTTTTAGTAAGTTTTGTTTTCTGTTGAAAGTGATATTACTGGGAAAGTTATAACACACTCCTGTTTTACTACATCCTCTGTAACCCATCTGCTTTTTAAAACTTTGATTTGTAAGGTAGAGTAGAGCTGGGATTTGCAAACTATGACCTGTGGACCAAATCTGGCCCA